TACCAAGAAGAACGAAAAATAATAAGCCATAAACGAACATTACCACCAACTTATGATGAACCAAGAAAAAAACGAAAACTTGAAGAAAGGTAAAGGCACGTAAAAGGCTTCCGCTGATCGAACGAAAGATTGTTCCTTATAGTCTTGATAAAAGACTGCTTAAGCACATCCGTTGAGCTTTGACACAATTGCAATTAACAACGTAAAAATCTTTCAATTTTTTCGTAAGCATAAATTTTATTATTTCGATTATTTAATGCGCGCTCTCGAAATATAAATAACGTAAAAGCACCAGAGTGATTGCGTGGAAGGAAAATACTCGGACCCAAAGCCATTGATGAGTATAACCTATTCTTTGGTCACTCTGGTGTAAATTTAAATTTCATTGTCTTCTTTACTACTACTATTGTCAATAATATAGTCACTATCATCTATTTCTTTGTGTGCTCTTCCTCGGATTCGTTTTTCGTTTGTAGAAATTTTTCAACGTTGAGGCTGCAATGCCTTTTCCTTCACGTAGCTTGCGGATTTCAATTGCCATTTGAAAAATTCGAATCCAATTCGAGCCTTTTGTCAAGTAAGATTTTAAAGCTCTTCCACAAATTTTTGGTTTCTGATGGATAGTCACGTTGGCCAATTTGTCTGGTAGATTTGGGTTTTTTCTTCGGCTCCATTAAATTGATTAATTCATCAATTTTCTGATTTATAATATGCAGCTGATCTTTGTGAATTTTATAATAAATATAAAGGGAATATCCAAGGATAATTCCGATCAATAATCCAAGAATAAATTCGCTTGTGAGAGCAATGATAAAGTCTGTTGGATAAATTTTTGTAAAAGCAGTTCGCGAAGCTTTTTCGTAAAATAGCTCAATTTCTGTCGTCTTTTATAGCAACTCTTTCTGAGTGAACTAAACGTCATTAATGCGAATTTCTGCGCATTTGATTATCATTGGTCATATTGTTACATTATGAAAAGATCTAGAAAGTTCCTAATAATACGTCATTGATTAAGCCACTGATTCACATCGCTAACCCGCGCAAAAAAATATCATGTCTTTCAACATCTGGGTAAAGTATGGTGAAAGCCAGCCGGCTAAAGTCATTTTCAGTGGAGGGGATGTCGACGACCTGAAGGAGGCAATCAAGAGGAAATTAACAAATACATTGGGTGATGTGGATGTCGCTGACATTACCCTCCGCCGACACGACGAGGAAGTGGCTCTTGAGCCAGATAATGTGGTGGATCGAACCTTTGGTCCGACCACACGAAAACCACTCAAAGTCATCGTTGCCCGAGGTAAGTAACAGACAGAGAGTGGGAAGGCAAAGCGCTGGAGGGCGGGAAGTTAGAGGCAGCCTGGTAACGACTTTGTGACTCAGGCGTTGGGGACATAGAGTAGTGTGTACGTAGGGTAGAGTGGACGTGGTAATGCAGAGTCGTAGCAAAGGTTAGGTTATACGTAAACTCGTTTCCAAAGGAGACAAGAAACAGTATGGGTTAACAGAGGAACAGTGGAGAGAGAGTAGTTCGAATGCTGTTATAATGTGACAACAGAGAGAGAATAGTTGGAATGCATTACAATACGCGCATTTGGGAGAGTACAGGATAGATAATAGATGTTATTAGTTGGATATGGAATACTGTTGCGTTTGATGCGAGCTTTATTACATTCCTACTCATGCATATCCCATTGTAACTTTTGTATTTTCATGATTGATTGTTTATTTGTTCTGACGTTCCTTTTTTTCCAATTGAGTTTCAATATGCATTAATTGTTACTTGTTTGCTCAGTCTCAGCCATTCCAGCAAAGCGTAGCTTTGAATATGTTGTCGCACCTCATGAAGTTGGCGTCGACCAATTCGCCTTCATTTCTGAAGCTCGGCTGGAGGAAATCAATAACAAAATGTACGGTCATAGGGGGATTAATCTCCTGCGCAGCCCACCGTCTTCAGGCAAGACAACGCTCTCCAAACTACTCCAAGATCACCTTATTAAGAAGAAACATGACGTTGTGCGCATTTCGATGTCTACCTTGGAGAGATATCCCCGTTCTGTGGAAAGCTTGAACCGTTTCGACGAATTTTTCAAACAAGTTACGCGGAATTCATTTTCTTCCCTTTTGTCTCGCACGTCTCCAACGGATATCATAATAGACGAATGTCAGGTGCTCTACGATCAAGCTGAATTCTTCTGGGCTCTTTTGAAAGACCGTTTTGATCATCCAATATATTACCCCAACTCCACTCTTCCCTCCTTACGTATTCTCCTTCTAAGCATGTATGAAGATCGTCCTGGTGCAGGCTCAAAAACGCCTTTGGACTTTCCTGATAAACTAGGTTTGGACGACTTGCGCCTCACTCGTGCCGAATTTAACCACATAGTTGATAAATTCACGCGCAATGCTTTGGAAGAGCATGACTTCACGTTTGTCATTGATAAAAATGTAACAAATGCTATATTCACCTCTACTCGTGGACATGCCAGTCTCGTTATGCGCACTTTAGAACTCCTGCGGAACTATTGTCGGCGCAACCAATATAAACCTGAAAATAAATCGACTGAAAAAATGCTTACGTATATGGTTTCTCCTGGCTATTTCGCCGCTCTTCAGGAGACACGTGTGTTCGATTGGATAAAAGCTCTGAAACTCACGAAAGATGTCTACAATTTCCTACATGACGCATTTACACATATGGATAAGGACTCTACTTTTCCCAAAGATCTCAAAGATACCCTTACCCAAGAGCTTGCAAATAGGTTCAAGCGTTCTGGTCTAGTCACTCATGCAGGCGACTCTGACAGTGGTCGTTTACAATTCGCTGCCCCACTCGTTCGTATCATCCTTGGTCAGCGCCTTTACACTGCAAATATGAGTCTTACTCGGTCAGACGGAGATTTTGATGTGTTTTTACAGCTCAGCATTCAACGCATGAGACATTCCATCCTTAGTAGCTCTCTAGGCCATGGTGTGAGAGAGGGTGCACGGTTATATGAGAGGACATGGCAAATGGAATGGAACTTGGCAGCAAGCACAGCTGTGCCACAAGGACACACGATCAGCCCTGACGTCGGTCCAGTATATGGTGTAACAGGTTACCTGGATTTTTACATTAACAATGGTCTTGAATGGGGAGTAGAACTCATGCGAGAAGGACAGAAATTGGATGATCACATCAAACGCTTTGAAAAAGGAGGTGCATATTATAAGATACCTCGCAAGCGGTGGGCGATCATTGACTTTCGCCACTATTCAAATATTCCTGCCACTTTAGAATCGGATGTCTGGTATGCACTGTATGCTGATGATTACAAGAACATTATCATAAGGCGAAAAGACAATGAAGACATCATTTTGACCCTGCATGGTGATGATCAGGGCATCTCTCCTGATTTGATTCGAGAACAATGATACGGCTCAAGTAGTATGCAAAGAAAACCCTCTAAGTGCACACTGCTGGGACCAAACCATGGCATGCATTTAGAGGGTGTGCATTTAGGAAAATAGTAATTTGTGTAACACCATAATATTATATATGATAATATGGACGTTTATTATTCAATTAATTAAAGTATCGATTTATCATTGTTTGTTTCATTTGACTACTTTTCCTTCCACTAACAAATCTTTCAAGACTGTTTAACTGTCTTATCTTATATCTGCTCACTTGTGTTTTCTTGTTGTAACAAAAACCATTGTACATTTTCAATGCACTACTGGTGTTTACAATAGGAATCTCAGTACTGTCCCATTTCTTCGGTGTTCACTTCATCAATATCTTCTTTAAATGTCTTTGCGATTTCTCTTCAGGAATAAACAGAAATTCATCAGCTTGCATTGGGTCTGAAAGATGAAGCTTATTGATCACTCAAGTCATCA